TTCTAAGAATTAAAAAAAGATGAAGATAAGTTGAACCGAGATTAAAGTTAATCTACATTGGTAGAAACAGGTATTAGAAAAAGATGACAGTAACTTGAACCGAGATTAAAGTTACATTGGTGGAATCGGACCTTAATGTACGTTTTTGACATCATTCTTCTAACTCACGTAGTGCCGACGAACACAGCGTAATACCGGAGCAACATTTTTCGGGACTGTATTCTTACCACGTGCCAACCGGCACGTGGGTCAGACTCGCCTGTGATATCGCTGATAAACAATGCTCGAGAGACATGCCTATCTACAGATCCCGCGCTGGTCATTCCATGTTGTTTCATCCGGTTGGTATCCCATATCTTCCCTCTTTCGACTTTGTTTCTTTAGTGAAAGAAATAACAACAAACAAATTCATAAACACATGGTGAGATTTTTGCAAAGTGGGATCTTGTTCCAGCGGTCGAGAAAACTATACATATTCGCCGGTCAGAGAGGAAAGGAATATCTCAGCGATTTTTTCACGTATGAGGTTGATACGCAACACGTCGAGTACATAAGCTACAACGAGTTTGGTACAACGAAGGATTCTAATCACGTTCCCGCGGCTGGATTCACACAGAGAGCGACCATCGATCCCGAACTCGGCGAGGTCTACGTTCTGTCGGTTTGTATCTCGCATGGCGAGATTATTAATTTGAGGCGCAATTAATTAATATGTGAAATTTGCTATTATATAAAACTCTAAAGAAAAAATTTTCTCAGGATTATATAAATTCTTACAACCTTCATAAATAATTAATTTGATGTTCTTTATATATTATATAAATGATATTATCTTAAATTATAAAAGTTATGTTTATATAACATATAAGTGATTTATTTTAATTTTAACAGGCAAATATTCCGAGAATATACAAATATTTTACCAAGAAACATTGTAAATAAGAGTTGTGTGATATAGAGGAGGACATTCCCCTTTGTATCATACAATTTTTATTTGGAATGTTTTTTTGGTAAAATTGCATTTTCGAAATACTTGCCTGTAGAAATTAAATAAAATAAACCACTCTGTATATATTATATCTATATTATATAAATCATATTTATAAATATAAATAATATATAAATAATATAATTTATGTATATATATATATATGTATAATATTTTTCAGGGTTTGAGCAAAGACAAAGATAAAAGGGACGACAACGTGCAAAATTCTTTTTGGGTATACAATATTCAGAACAGCAAATGGTCTTGTATATATCGTAACGAGAACGTCGGTGAAAAATATTGGACCAAGATGCAAGATTACGAACCATGTCCGCGATTTGCACACCAGCTCGTTTATGATCACACTAGAAAGGTACGTTGTAAATTATATTTAATAATTGTGTCCTTTTATTGCTGTTTTAAATAAATGTCCGCGTTTGCCGATCGATTCAATAATTCACAATTCCCTCGTTAGGTTCATTTTCTGTTCGGCGGCAATCCCGGCAGATCCTGCCTTCCAAATTTGCGACTCGACGACTTTTGGCAATTGGAACTACGTCGACCCACGGGCGAACAGATTTTGAAAAGGTGCAAGCTAATCATCAGGAAGCATAAGTTTAAGGAGCTTGCTCTGAGCAATAGTATAGAAGCCCTCGAGTACCTGCAGACAAAGATCTTTGAAATTATCGATCACAGTGACACGCAACAAACGAAAGAGGTATATTCATACATGTTCTACGGGTACGGTCAACGCGATGTTACAAATGCTTTACAGTAATTTTTGATTGGTTAATTTGTAAAATTCTTTTTTCTAATTGCTTTAAAGCATTTGTAGTGAGACTTTGACCGCAGCCTTCATTTACTACTTATTTTTATATTTATTATCGTGATTATACTAAGCGTAGTAGATTATACTAAGCGATTATACTAAGCGCTAAGCGTAGTATCGTCTTACTAATCACCGTCTTTCCTTCGTAGTTTCAACTCTTGACATCGATCTTATTCCGGAAACAGAATAATTCACTGGAGGACGCCTCCCATTCGAGCACGATTCTGAATGAGCTGACGACTGGCGTGACGACGCAACAGTGCACGAACGCGCGTGATGTACATAACTTGCGAACTGAGCTATACAACAAACTCGCGGAATTTTTCCCGGAATCGTTAACGCAGCCGCGGGCGAATCTGATCGATCTCCTGCCGTTATAATGACACAGCGAGCGGGTCGTGAGACCTTGATGACGGAGAGAGAATGTTCTCTGTTCACATCACATAATTTCTTCTTTTGCTCAACAATATTCTCGTTATAGTTGGCAAAATAATCCTCATTTTTGTAGACTTACGACGAGCCTCGCCACGTTTGTGGTGTGATTTGTTTTTCTCCTTTCAATGTTGTGCTAATCATGGGAGAAAAAAAGAATTGGTTGCGGTAGATCTCGAATTTAACATTTGCAAAACTGCCTCTCATAATTTTATTTATTTCGTCTTATAATATGCTTGTTAAAGAGTTTTTCTCTGTTTTTCTTAATGAACTGAAAAAGCGATTCGGGACAAAGCACTCTATGTGTCATTTATACTTACCTACACTTGTTTGAGATCGGGAACTTTGTGATATCGATAGCTTTCTAATGGACTGGTTAGCTGATACGTAAGTAAACTAGAGATCAATTTTATATCTAATCTCTTCTGTATTCTATATAGCTATGTGTTTATAATGTGGCCATAAAGTTGTTGTTGTTATTATGTTTGCTGAAATAATATATTTCTCGTCGAGTGTGAATTGAAGGGAGATTTAAGACTAGAGATAGCGCATCAAGGAAGCTGTTATTAAAGCGTCGCGATTTAACGCTTTCAAACACTTGACACAATATATGCTACTTTTTATCAAAAGTATGTAAGCCAAGAAATTATTGTACAGCTTCGCTAAATGCAACAAATTGTAACTCTTAATCTGAAGTCTAGCGGTTTTCTGGCTTACAAAGCTGTGATGGAGAGACAGAAAATGTTATGGTCAGTTACATATAAAATTTCCTTCTTTAGTTAATTATAATCTCAAATTATAATTAGTTTAATCGTTACTTAATTTAATTGATTATGATTTTGAATTATAATTAATTAAATAAGGAAATTTTTATACGAATATTATAATTAATTGAATATAGAAATTTTATTGTACTGACCATAATATTCCTTCCAACTGAGTAATTGCTTCCTTATGTATCCCGCATTGTTAAAAGCAACAAGGGATATTTCATGTAATCGAGTTGAGTGAAATATCCCGTAAATATCAATCCATTTTCTCTTGTAAAATAATTTATTCTTAGATATAGCAGCTCCGTTATCCCGTGTTTTTTGTTCATAATCTAAGAATAAGTTCATTCACCGAAAATGCCTTCTAACGAGATGTGAAATCTTAAAGTGTTATTATTGCGTGCAAACGTCGACACGAGTTAACAATCGACTTCACACTTTTTACTTCCCCAAAGGCTTCAGCTCCTTTCCACAAACGATCAACTGCGATAAAATACCGAGTAAATTTCAGGAACTAAGTTTTCATTAGCATGTAAATACCTATGATGACGAGTCACGATTGTCGGTACGTTACACTTAATTGTTCATCGGCTAAAATGCATATTGTACATTGTATATACGTAATCAGCCTCTCGCGAGCTTAAAACATTACTGAGGAAAGAGGTGTATGCGAGAACGATGCAATTATATGTATATTGTAAGATGTAGAAGCAAAAACTGTATAGCAGCTAAAAATATCCGGCCGCGCTCTATCTTTGTACATACACGATTATATGAACACGATGATAAGGAACGTTGAGACGATTTTTATAATGTGATTCCAGTTACGCTAAGTTAGATAACGGAATTGTAAAAAAAAATGAACGGAGAGTATATATATATATACAGAAAAAAAATATATGAGTAGAGAGACGAAACGAAAGTGTACGCAGGCATGAAAACGAGACGACGCCGCCATTCCTTTAAATATACATAATATGATATATTAGTCGTCTCGAAGCTGGAAGGAACAGGTATTGCTTGTACGCATTATATACAGGGAACATACGCGAAATTCTTCAAGCTTCGGGACGCGAGCGAAACGAAAAACGTGGATATACATACATCCGAAGTTCTAGTCAGATAATAAATGTTTACAAAGTACACGACAGAGAGAAAAGGACTACGAGTTTGGAATTTATTTACACACGCAAACTTCGGTTAAAGAATGAGAAATTTATTTTTTTTTTCCATTCCTATCACCGGGACGCATTCTCCTTTCAGAATTACATCGTACGGATATAACTCTGTATATCTTTTTATAATATAATATACAAACGGAATATATTGCACGAGAAAAAACAACGGACAAATGCACATTAAATATCATTAACAACATATTTCGAACCATGATGGGTTTCTTCCACCATGTTTCGGACTATAAAGAACTGAGAGAAACCAAGAGTGCATTTGATGAAACACTATTAGCACTATTTGTGTCATTCTATTTGTGTCACTCCTTGTTTTACGTCTAATGACCCAGATAGCAACGTCTGTTTTGTTGGCAAATAAACATGCTGTTACCAGAATTGCAGCAACGGGGTCTACATTTGTTGACAAGTTGATGCCTTCACGATATAACTTTAGCAACTTGCCGATAACTTTAAAGTCTTCATCATCAAAGTTCGTGCTGTTGCCATAATCTATAGGCTTACACTCATCAATACTATCATATTGCTGACAACGCAAGGTATTTTTGATGCTGCTATCTTGCCATTAATTGTTAGCAATACACATATTCATTATTGCCTGTGTTGGTACAATGTCGGTATATTCAAAATTAAAATAAATACACAAGTTTTTAGCATCATAAGCAATCAGATTTGCATGATTTTATTGAGACACACTTTGTTGTCTGGGGAACAATAAAATTAAAATGGCACAAATAGCGATAGTAGAGTGTCTGCTCAAACGCACCTCAATAATTGATCAATATATGAGCAATATATAAATTAGTATGCTCTTATTGCAAGGAAGCTTTATACATTGGATTTGCAGTTCCGTGTCAACTCCTCGTTCCATCCATTTGTTTAGACAAAATATACATGCACGCGTCGCATGCTCTATGAGCTTTGTTTGGTACTAAAATCACGTTAGCTTTGGTAAGACTTAATACGTATTATCTTCGATAACAGATTTCTGCATAATGTCACATTCAAAAGTCTAAATTTTCGAAAGCACATCATCAATAAGTCTTAATAAAATCACTTCTGGAAGATACACAGAATAATAACGTTAGAAATATAATAACTGGAGAAAGAAATCGGAGCTGTTGCTCGTAATAAAAGAATTGTCAAAAATGCTTGTAACGTTCATTAAAAAAAAATTACGCAATTAGATTCGTTAAAATTATCTTGGAGTCTGGTAGACCGTCCAGAATGTAATGAGGAGAATTCGCCATGGACGCGAGATCAGCCTCGAACAACGTCAACTGAAGCTCCTTTCGTGCTTTCTGTACAATATAAACCATCAGCGAGACTCCTACTAATATCTACAACATACAGCGAGAAAAAATTATTACTTTAGTTACTTCTGCGAAAGTTTGAGGACATACGACGCACCTGGAAGCAAAATACTACGTAGCCAGTCGCCGCCGTGGATCTATCCTCCAATACATCCTGCATCGACCTCAGACTGCTGCCTAGATAAACGTTGACCAGTTGGGCAGGCAATAAACCTATCGCACTGGCTACGTGGTAATGAAAACCACCTATGTTACTGACCTAATCATACACACGTATAAATATACATAACATTGTCGTGGGTTACGTGTGAGAGCATACTTAATGTGACCAGACTGCCCCCCCCCCCCCCTCTCTCTCTCTCTCTCTCTCTCTCACGATACTTGTCTTGTCTCATTCAATATCCAAATGCAGGAGACACAGTCGACACAAACGACAGATCATTTTATCTGACACAAATCATTCTATGACATTAATAAATAATAAGATAGAACATCATTTATATCGACTGTCTTTTTCCTAAAAAGAAAGCAGCCAAAGTCTGTAATACAGTTACTAGGTTTGTTTAATTGAATTGTCTCTTTAATTGAACTTCTGGGTCATCTTTCTTCTTTTTCTTTTCACATTGAAAAGAAAAGAAATTAAGAAATTGTCTTGTAAGAATTGAGTCTCCTCAAAAAACAAAAAGTAATCAAAATTTTCCACTTTAGATCCAAAAATGTCTGATCACATTAAGCATACACTGTGTACAATGAACGTTCCACGTACTGCAAAAATAGTGTTCTGAAGACCGAACGGGATCGGAGTGAGTCGCGCGAACAGGACGATCTTGAAAGCCTGGGACCCGGATATCACGCGTAGTATCGCTCTTGCAGTATCGCTCTGCAGAAGGGCACCAATAGGTAGCCTGGTGGACAGCAGGCCCAGGGTGACATGGGCAATCGCTATGCCGAGATTAGCGGAGAGTATGACAATTGCCATGCCGCGTATCACGCCGAACAGGTAGCCACTGGCGACAATGAGGAACAGATAGCCAATCACGATCGGAAACGACACCACCGTGAACAGACTTATGAAGATCACGGCGATGATCCAAGCATTCTGATGCTCGATCCAGTAGAGCAGCAGCTTTATGTAGTCCCTGCAGATGAAGACAATGGTGCCGAGGAAGGCTAGAGTTGCGATTGTAATCACGACGTAGCATATCGAGTTCGAGCTGATACAACCAAAGAGTACCCCCGAACTCTTGGAAGAGCGCATCTCAGTCTCGACATCGTCTATATCAATGATTTGGTCCATATTCTTCTCTACAATGTTCTCTACAGTATATCAGTGAGCAGCCAGTCCTTGATAGTAACGTGCTTAAAAGCAAATAGTAATTAATTAAAACAGTAGAATAAAATAGAATCTATTTATTTCAGCTTACATTGCTAAGAAGAAATAATAATTATAATTAATTATAATTAATATTAAAAAATAAGATCACACACGAGATTCATCTCTTCTATTCTGCTTGAAATAGTAGAATAGAACTTATTTACTTCTGCTTAAATTACCAAGAAAGAACAATTAAAATAATAATTAATGTAAAAAATTATCACACACAGGAGATTAATCAGACATTTTAAATAATTTTAGAGTCGAAGATTAATTATTTTACCTTGCAACATCGATGAAGGAAAGTGAATCCAACTTACACTTCAACCCATAATGCGAAATGCGTATAAATCTGTTCGGGAAGAACGTGACGCATAAAATTTCGGTTGTTAAACATGTTATTTGGCAACATGTCAACCGCAATAAACCTATTAAGACGCAAAACAGTAGAAAAATATTAACGTAAACGTAACTATTTAACTGTTTAACCGTGCTCTTAAAGTTGTCATTTCGCTATAAATAGAAAATATATAATCTCTATTTTTTAATTAACTAGATTGCAAATAATTATTCGGAAGCGTGGCAAACGGTCGTCAACCACAAGAATCGGACAAGAAGGGAATGCGCTGCATGGACGAGATTCGACAATGGACCTGTAGATGGCGCTAGCGCCGTGACAAAGTTAAAATCACTAGACTTGATTTGTTCACGTTGCTTACACTCAGTATTTTCGCTTTCTTTCTTTCCAACGTTTAAATATATATTTATCTTGTTCTTGAGGATTTAAAAAACAACGCGTGAATATATATATATATATATAAATCCGATTATTTATATTCGGAGCTAAAATGGCGTCAGAAAATGCAATTATCCTGCAACTCGAGATGAGAAAATGCCGTTCTGTTTTAATTTTTCGTTTAAAAAATAAAAATGACGAAAAAAAAATAATAGTAAAACAATATAAAGTTTAAAAAATGAAAATTTTAATCAATATGTATAATTACAGATTCTTGAAAATATAACAAAATGGATACAGGAAACAAAAAAATATAATGAAAGTATTATTTCTTTTATCAATTTGTTTTCTAATTCAAGTTTCCAATTTCTGAGATATGATTTAGGATCTTTTTAGAGACACTGCGATAATAAAAGAAATCAGAATGCATCATCAATTATCTTGATGTCTTAATATCATGTAAGAATATTATGTATGTATTAAAGAAATATAATAAAATTTGTATAATATTGGAAAGGTGGCAATCTTAGACATTGAAAACATTTTATTCAGTCAGTAAGAAGCATTCTACATGATAATAATAATCATAGTATAATCCGTGATAATAATAATAATTAATAATCATAATAATTCATTCGTAATAACCACAATTTGTAAATGTACAAGGTAAACTTTCTCTCTCACGCTCTTTCTTTCTCTATCGCACCCTTTATTTCTCTCTTTCGCTCTCCGTTCTCGCAATCTCTCTCGTTCACACGTTGAGAATTGTCATTTTATATAGTTGTACATAAAATTACAGAAAAATTCACCAATATATAAATCAAACGTCGTTACTCTTCAAAGACTATGAATGTAGTCAATAAATCATCCCTATCATCATTCCGTCTCTGCTGCAAAGATACTTCTTGATACTTTTCTTCCTTTCTTTTTCTTTTTTTTTTTCAGTTCGGCATTCGGCAGCGTTGTTGGATTTGAAGGACTACTCTTTTAAAGGTCCGCAGCGGCAACGCCCTCGCAATATTTCCCTAATATAGTATATTTGTACATTTGTAGGTCCTTTCTTCATAACCCTGGAAGACACGGGCGGAGATCCGATGGATCCCCTGAATACATGAAACCAACGATCAATCATTTAATCCTGATTTCACGTTCAACTATCTGATGTGCTGATGATGAAATATAGATAAATAAATTTAAACAATTGTATTCTATTATAGACAGTCCAGATTAATAAAACGGAATGCAAATCTGTTCTAGATCCTCATCTATAATTCTCCTCCTGATAAATATTCATGTAAGATCAACTCCTTCAAAAGTCAATGATCTTGAAATATGTCTAAGTAACATTCTAAAGATTTTAATCTTCGTTCGTTGTTTATCAAAAAGTTAACACAAAATTTATCGGACACCGTTTTCCGACATGTGTACTTTATAGCCACATTTATGTTTTAAATTAAATCTTCGTCTACAATATACTAAAAATAATAAAAATTTGAAGAATTAGACAGACTCTTACGCAGGGTAGGTATTACATATCAAAAACAAAGCCAGAACGTATATTGCTGCCAGTAATAAATTTATCCATATTTCTTTATCACAATTCAATCTAATATCTAATTCCTGTGTTTTTGTCAATTAAAAGTTATTAATATAAGTGGAGGAGCAGTTTCACCACCCCCCAATCCTCCATCAACGCTATATAGAAATATTCATCTTACACTGTAGATTTTAAATTTCTAGTATTGATTGTGTTTTCTTATATATACGGTCTAAAAATAAAAATATTGTTTACACTGTAGCTTCTCTTCTGTTTTCATTTTAGAGTATCAGAAAACTATATTCTATTTTTGAAGCGTCTTTAACTTTTTAATAAACAACGAGCGGCGACTACCTTTGAATTAGTGAAATGTCATGACCTCAATAACATATTTATCCTTCTTCTTTTATAATAGATTTCCGACCATCGCAGAATCGCAAGACGTTTATCGTTCTCTGTAAAATCACACCTGCGTCTGCCAGGGTTAATATAGATAGGTGAGAATATTTAAGGCGAATAAATCCACTATACATACATCCTTCAACAAAGTTTCGGTGGAAATATATCCCGTAAAAAAACGTCGGCGACCCTGTAAAGAATCGAGGCTCGTAACAACAACGGGGGCGCAGAGCGTGACCACCGCGGATTCTCTTTTTTTTTTCCCGTTATTACTGTAAATCCATATTACTATTGATTTGAGGTAGTGTATTCAATGTAATCCTATTACCTTGCTGCTATATGTTGCGTGTGTGGATATGTTGTGTATGTCGTATGAATACTCCTTCGCACACCTACCGCACTTCCGACTGCGAGCCCGGAGTTGTTCTTTGTCGTTTAGTATACGTATATACGTATAAAAAAGTCCGGTGTGTGTCTCGTGGAGCGTACGAGTGCAAAATGTTTGCAGGCCTATTGCAAAATATTATTATCGGCAGTAATCTGACAGGCGATTAAAGTGTATTGATCAGTATATATATTATTTTTCCAAGCTCGTAGTTCGCGCCGGCCGTAGGTGTGCTTCACAAAATTATCGTCTATGCAATGGAGTATGAGGAAGCCGAATGTCGGACAAATTCCATCGAGACTTCTATATCTCGATTTTTCTTCCTTTCCTCTTCTCTCTCTCTCTCTCTCTCTCTCTTCACACGCGTGCCCAAGAATTAATTCCGTATCGATAACAAGCGCACGTGTGTGTGTTCGTCTTTCCAGAAAACGTTCGGATGTTCCGCAAAAAATCCGTCCGCAATTCGGCGTTTTTCAACTTCATTTTTTTTTTAAATACCAAATACGACAAGGCTGCTGACATTAGGCTTGCTAGCACTTTGTAAATAATGCCCAGCGATTGTGCTATTTTGTTTAAGTTTCTCTTTAACTATTACTTCATGAATAATCATTATCACTTTTTTTTTTTTTTTTTTTTTTCTTTAATTAATCGTCTTCACAGATCGTCGAGGAGAGGGGGAGGCGTGCGACACATCGTCGGCGCCGCGCCAAGTTGGCTCAATCTATGAACACTTCTGTAAAAAATATAATATCTATGGATGGTTGAGCCCTTGGCCAGCATACGCAAGCGAACCGAGTTAAGTTGCCTCTCTCGCAGAGGGGAAGGGCAAACTGGGAGGGTGGGATCACTTCTGCACGGAGTGAGCAATGTGGCTATATAGTAACGCATATATCTAACACATGTACTCTCTGCATAGAATATGTGTCGCTCAACTTCGCTACTCTCTAAAACTTTTAGAGTGAATCCCACTCTGAAAAGTGAAATCTCACTCTTAGATCCAGTTTCACCAACGTGAGATCAACTTTAATTTCGGTCCAACTTACCCTTTGTCTAATTCTAGAGTTCATAGAATTAGAGATAAATAGTAAGTTAAACCGAGATTGAAGTTAATCTTATATTAGTGAAGCCTGGGCTTTTTCAAGACTGGCTCAATTTTCACTCTTTCGAGTGAGATTTCACTCCAAAGAATGTAAAGAGTACGTTAAAGGAACATCTTCCACCGGGACGCCGTGACGAAACAAGGAGCCCCGCGTCTAACAACGTCAAAAAAAATGCAACCTATTTAAGGGGGGGAAGGATTACAATCGACAATGCAATTTTCAATCCCCCGATTTGATTGTACAAATATTCTTATTTATCAGGCTTGCAGAAGTGATATTCGCCCGAAGTCTTCGTTCGTTCGTTCCTTCGTTCTTTCTATCCGTTACTGTGTGATATGCCAAGCTCCCCCTCTCTCTCCCTCTGAGAAATGAAATAAACGGTCAATGGAAATCAAATCTGAGAACATGACGACAATTTTGAATTTTGACACGCTCGTGTTATCCTTATATTACCATCAATATAAGTTTAACGACTTAAAACCAACGCAAAAACAACAGATATACAATGCACAAGCACATTGTAATAATAATAAAAAGACAAATGAGACTTAACGTAAAAACATGACTCACATTCAAATGTTTGTAATAGCCTCAACAGTTTCACCAGGGGAAAAACACAAACGAAACATACATATAATATAGTAAAACTAGTAACTACTTCACTACTCTAAGACAGCGAGAAAATCCTAAGACATGCGATATCAACGAAATATCGTTTTTGCTTCTCTTTTTCCTCTTTTTTTTCGCTTATTTTTCCAAAGTGCTTTCCAAAATTTATTCTCAGAAGTTGCGCCGAGTGCGTGCAGTTCCTAAAGATTTTTTCCTCTTTTTGTCTTTTTTTTTCTTTCTAAATCTCGAGTTTTGAGAGTAACTTCTGCGCGTTTTTGCTGTGAATGTCTTGTGATTTTTACGCTTTTCGTTAACAATTAATTCAATATCGTCTCTCCTGCTATGTTTTTACTGATTTCCTCCTTTCTTCCACCGTTCCTATATAGCCGGAGAATATTTCAAAATAAAGCAGAGGAATGTTCTGCTTTTCAACTTTTACGTGTAATTCACAATTTTCAATCCTGGAGCCGTTAAGTTCGCTACTCGATCCAACATTACAATACAATATTACGCTATTACGACACATAATTTCCATTAAGCTCGTATGTGCCATCGTTACTTCGACGTTGTTCCTCATTGCATTCACACTCACGTGAAATACCAATTTTCTCGATGGATCTCGTCTCTCAACTCCACAGATCAAAATTGATCTCTCAGACAACAGTTAAAGATTAAAATCATTATTAACTAGAATTATCAATTACACGACCATTAGTATGTCTTATACAGTAATAAATTACCATCGTGCTATTTTTACTCCACCGTCGACACACGTTGTCATTTTTTTTTATTACTAGATGTTACGATGTTATCTTTAGCTTAACTTAAT